TTAGAATAAACGACATATGCATCTAGAATCAACGGCAATGATAATGGTCTCTTTGTGTTGCTAAAATTCACTATAAAAGTGGATATTAGTCTTTCACAAAAATAATTGAATAAATCGTAGATATGAAGACTAAGATAGTGTGGCCTTCTTTTTTCTCGCAGTTTCCCTTACCTTTATAGTGTTGTTGTTAGGGGCGAGGAGGTTGCCAAAATAGCAGATAAGAAAATTAGCCAAGGGGATTGCCTCCACTTGTCACTTTGATAAATTGTAACTCTGTGCTAATGATGGCGCCTCTCACTGAAGATGCTGACTATGATGCGGACAAGACGTTTCGAAATGTACCAAGTCAATGGTCCAATGCTGAAAGTCAGGAGCACTATGTCTGAGAACGCATGACTAGATACGTTCCACAAGGTTTCCCTGGTGCCCCGACCAAGTTGCAAAAAATGAGGTAAAACTAACACTATAATTATATAGATGTTATTTTTTAAATAAATGGATACATTTATCTAATCGTGATGACAACTAATATCAAAGCTAAAGTGCTCACGCTAAACTAAAAAAATAATTTCGATGTATCAAAGCCCCTTTCAGTGGAGATTTATTTAAGCACTTTAATAAAAATATACAGCATATAAACACTATAATATTATAATAAAAGAATGAAATTGAAATTATCATTAAACTGAATAGAAATGATAAATAAATTCTATAAGAGCTAAATAACTTCATTGAATTTTACTTGCTTACACATCTGATACTGCAAGACTAAGTTGTTCTTTTCGTTCTTCTATTTTCAATTACTTAATAAAAGAACATATTTGCTCAATATAATCTGGACTAAAGCGTACTTTACACAAACGAACTGAATTTAAGTAAGGTAAATAAACTATCAACAAAAACAATGGTATAACTGACATACAAGCCCATAACCATCAATAAAGAAATTTGGTGCAAAGTCAAGCATTGTCTTCCTTTCTTGATTTTTCATTTGTAAAAAGGATTTTCCTTCTGCGTGAAATACTTTGTGATAATAATTCTTTCACAGCTATTCTATTTTGGTAAAAGTCAATTTCTTCGTTTGTATATACTTACGCACAAAAGACAAAATAATTATGAAACAAAAATTTCTATTCTATTAAATGAAGCATGGCCTCGAGCACGTCATAGTAAAATACTTTGTTGTCCCCAGATACAAATAAAGTTGGCTATAACTTAGTAAAGAAATTGGCAACCCTTAAGTGAAATCGAAACACAAATCAACTCTGGATGAGGAAATTCTCTTGGGATTTAAAGTTGCAATTAAATTCATTGACAAAACCAAAAGTTTTCTTCAGTTCAATAGATATGCTCTAAGTTTTCTTTGAATAAACCTTTTTTGTAAGGCTATTCAAGGATGATAAATATGCTTTTGATCGCAAAGATTGCCAAGACTGATAAAAACTCGTATTACACTCGTGTCGGGTGATTTTATTATTGATAGTCTTATTGTGATATCTAAACTATAAGAGCGCACATCCTAAAAGACTTCGCATTTACAATAGGATATATTATAATGTGAGCAAAAATAACCTTATCTCTGGGGATTGGAATGCGAAAGTTTTTAAAAGTTGATGAAAAGAAGCTTTGAATCACAAATGAGAAAAGTACGAATTCTGCCTGTAAGGGACTTTATAGTTCGACATAAAAAATAGAATTTGTTTAATAGTAAAAATGTTCTTGCATATTTTATAACTATATTTGTAATGACAAATTATGAGGACTATAAAGTATTGATATAATCCAGATACAAATGTCCAGTTTTAAATATATGATAGTTATCGAATTATTTCTGCCGTAATGTATCGTAAAACCACTATAGTTAGATATTGCAGGTTGATTCAGTAAGGCCAAAGCATAAAATCGAAGGAAAAATGTTTCCGAGTAAGATATCTTAGAGACATATTAAAAGAAGTTTCAACTCACCGGTGCCCAAATAAATTATGTCTACCGGATATGAAGGACGTCTTGCCTCGTCATGCCAATCAACATCAAGTGTTGTAATACGACCAACTGGCTCACTGAACCGCCAGGAAAAACTGATAATAGCTTCACCAGCCTGACGCGTTAGGGCTTCGTCTAAAGTATCCTCAATTATGCCCCCAAACTCGCTCTCTGTTTCGGCATATTTGTACGGCCAAGAATATTCCATTGTAGCCTTTTGCTTCAATCTTTTAAATTCCTCACTCTCAGTCTTAACTGATGCTCCTTGTTTTATGGACTCAAATCCTTGCTTTTTGTCATTTGCATGCTTTAATGACTCTTGAAAGTTGTTTCCAGTCTTTACAACAGCTGACTGCTCTCTCGCCAGATGGTTGTGGTCCTTGATGTTTGAGTCCCATGATTCAGTAGCATCTTCCAGCTCGACCTCTGCTTCATCAAAATTTTCATAGCCTAGGTAAAGATTCTCTTGAGAACTGACATTTGCATGGATTAGAAAAGGATCTATGAAAAAGCCAAACAAGCAAATAGGAACTAAGAGTAGCTATCTCAAATTGGAAATAAATTGAAAAAGGATGAATACCAGAAGCGAATACAGATAAAAATGGCTAAGGAATGTTATAAACATCAATTATATCTATTAAGTGTAATTCGTTTAAGCAAGTTCATAGACATTTCGATAATTGATAGGCTCAGGAGTGTATTTCTCATGGTTTAAAAGACTCATAAAATTTGGAGTCATGGTCAGTTGAATTTTTTTCATTTTTTATTACCATTATATTTAAATTAAACTGGGATTTTAGCTCGAGTTAACGAAGATTCTACAGTATAAGATTCCGAAGTACAAGTAATGATAAGATTTGGCTTGGC